GGGGGCCATGGGGTTCGGGGGAGCCCCGTGGCTGAGCCCCAAGGGAAGCAAAGGAAAGTGCAGGTGAGAGTGCAGGAGCCACGGAAAAGCAGGAAAAAAAATCACCCTGGAGCAGAAATTGGGGTTTTTTACCCCAAACCAAAGACGACCGCAAAGTCTCCCAGCAAGAGTTGAAGCAGTATGGGAAGAAGAAGAAGCCACCTTCACCCCATCCTCACGGGTCTGGGAGGGACCCTGCTTCACCGACCTGCCAGAAAAATCCAGCTTCCCGACCCCAAAAACGCCCGAAAACCACCAAAACCACAAGCACGGCCTAAAGCTGGGGAAGAAACCGCCCCTGAGAGAGGCACTGATGGAAAACGCCCTCCCTACGGCCCCTCCTCTCCGGAAAACCTTGGGAAAAGTCACCCCAAAAGCCAAAATTGTCCCCTCCTGCTGGAAAAGTGACATTTACGGGTTGGAGCATCCACGCATCGCACCGGGATGGGAGCGGAGGGGGAGGTGCGGTGGCCTAAGGGGTTTTTTGGGTTCCCTGTGTGGGGAGGAAGGATTTTGGCTTCGCATTGCCCCTGGCAGGCAGGGGCGGTGTTGGGAAGAGAAACAGGGACCCGAAACCTGCTCCGGGACCTGAAATCTGCTCCAGGACTCGAAATCTGCTCCGGGACACGAAAATGTGCTTCCAAACTTGAAATCTGCTTCCAGACCCGAAATCTGGTCCAGGATCCGAAATCTGTTCCTGGACCCAAAACCTACTCCAGGACCCGAAATCTGCTCCAGGACCTGAAATCTGCTCCGGGTCCCGAAATCTGCTCCAGGACCCGAAACCTGCTCCGGGTTCCGAAACCTGCTCCGGGACCCAAAAATCTGCTCTGGGACACGAAAATGTGCTTCCAGACTTGAAATCTGCTTCTAGACCCGAAATCTGTTCCTGGACTCGAAATCTGCTTGCAGACCCAAAACCTGCACCCAGACCTGAAATCTGCTCTGGGACCCGAAATCTGCTCCAGGTTCCGAAATTTGTTCCAGGACACAAAACCTACTCCAGGACCCGAAATCCGTTCCCGGACCCGAAACCTGCTCCGGGCCCTGCACCCGAAAGGGACATAGGAAAGCTGCAACCCTGTCAATTAAAACCTAAAATAATTAAAAAGACTATGTTAAGGTACGGTCTAACGCTTGTTCCCTGATTATTTTGGAGTTTTAGAAGCGCGTTTTCATGGGTTTGCGGATTTTTCAAGGCACCGAGCGCTCATGGGCACAGACGGGGAGATCTCGGCTCTCCCATCGCACAAAATTGGGGTGCTTTTAGTCCCTAAAGGTAAAAAGAAGGGGTCGGGGAAGCTGCTGCGTTTGATGCCGACGCGGTCATGGGTTTCAATGGCTCAATTCCTCTTTTTTCGCTCTTTTTCGTAATGGTTTTCCTCGATAGATGAGGTTTTTCGGCAGAGCTGAACGCTGGGTGAGCCTAGGAGGAGCTGGCGAGCTGCTGTGAACACAAAACCATTCGATACCATCACAAAAACCAGTCATTCCCATCACAAAACCGCTCATTCCCATCACAAAACCCGCTCATTCCCATCACAAAACCCAGTCATTCCCATCACAAAACCCGCTCATTCCCATCACAAAACCCACTCGTTCCCTGCCTGGCGACGAAGCCAATATGTTTACAACACATTTTTGTCGTTCCTGCTATTCCTAAAGAAAAAGCGATTTATTTCAGAGCTCCCCGAAGCAAACGGAGCAGATTCGGAGACGCTTTGCGACAAAACGGGGCGGTTTTGCCCCTTTTTGGGCCGTTTGAAGGGGCGCAGGGGTTTTCTGTCCCTGTCGCAGCTCCAAGAGAAGCCGGGTTGGATCTTGCACCCCCTGTAAACCCTCTGCCCCTCCCAAAAAAGGTCCCGATCCCCCGTTGTGCCTCACCTCCCTGCACCCCCTTTTTGTCCAGGTCGCACCGAAACCCCCCCCACGTCCTCTTCCCGCAGCAGAAACCCCGTGTGGGGAAAGGACCCAAAACTCCTCTCTGCACACAGAAACGGCTTTACAGACACAAAAGGCGGGTCCGGGGGGGCTCTGTAGGACCAGAAAATAAAACCAGGAGGCCAAAAATGCCCCCAGTTGCACCCAAAATGACTCTTGAGACGCGCGAAGCTGGGCGACACTGCGGAAAAGTCGAGGAAAGCCGAGGAGGGGGGGGGGGGAAACAGATCCCATCAATAAAAACCCTGAACATCCCCATCCGTAACGGAGCCCAGTTCCTTGCTCTGACTTTGCTTTGGGTTTTGCTGTCCCTGGAAAACTCCCAGATGTGGATAAGCCAAATTAAATCCCTTGGGCGAACTTGGCTCAAAAGTGGCGAGTGCGACCTGAGGAGGGCGAGAGCTCGGGGGAGGAAGAGGAGGAGGAGGAAGAGGAAGACCACGGGTGGATGCAGCTCCACAACAGCACCCAGGAGCCTTCTGAGAGCCCAAACGCAGGCAGCACCCCTGGGCAATCCCAAAATCCCAACTCCCTTTGCTTGCCCGAGGCCAGCAGGGCCTTGGGAAGCGTGCACGGAGACGCACGCGTGTGCTACGCGTGTGCTGTGTACACACACGTGTGCGACGCCCGCCCAGTAAGGAAATGGAGCTGATTCCTATGAAACTGGAAGCTCTGGGAATCCTTGGTTTGCTCTGGGATGCGCCATCCCCGAGAGCTGCAGATAATGACGGAGAAGAGGTAAGAGAGGGCAAACAGAAACACAACTTCACGCTCCCTCCCCTGCAAGAGGCAACTCGTTCGTCATTTAAGGCCACCGTTATTAAGGTCATTGAGGTTACGTGTGATGGAGATGATCCTTGGAAATGGAGGGATTTTTTGGGAGCGGATGATGAATTTTGGGACTCACATTAATGTTGGCTCATCCTTTCCTGTACCTGCCCAGCGCCTTCGCACGGGGATCAGCACCAATTTACGGTGGGGACCGCGGCCGTACCTTTCCTCACCTGCGTCCCATCACGACAGCAACACCCCCGTGGGCTCCCGGTGTGACACGAGTGACCGGGAACACGCGTGTGCACGTGTGTGTGTGTGTGTGTGTCCCCTCTCGCAACCGCTGGGCACAAACCAATGCTCCCATCGCGTCCAAAATCCTGGCGTCTTGGGTGTGATGAGATTTTTTCTCCCCTCGATCCCTCGAAGCAGGGGGCTTCTCGCGCCAAGCTGCGACGCTGCAGGTAGCGGGAGCAGAGGGGGAGCAGGCGCCTGGAAGCAGCATGCTGTTAAAATAAAATACATTGACAGCGCGGCTAAATGTCCCAGCCTCCCAAGAGCTGCCTTTTCCTTTGCTGCGAGTG